TTCCATCCACCTCACCACTACAGTACGCCATAAACAATATCCTCCTCCAAGAACCGATCAAGTGCGGCGGATCCATCCGAGGAGGTTCGTACACGGGCTGCGCTCGGGAAGGCCAAGCGTGCTGCTTCGGCGTGAAGAAGAGACCGGGGCGTAAGGGAAAACTGCCGGAGAGCGGGAACTGCTCCTCCCGAACACTGCCATTGGCGTCGTCACATTCGATAGCAACATCTGCGGCCACCTCAACTTCCGCTCTTGCCGTCGTCAAGACGTCCACTCCCCCACCTGTAGGGACGAGGCGGTTCCTGTTCCTAGTGCCACCGGAGGAAAAACATGGGTGTCATCGAGGTCGTGGAATTCCTCCAAGGGCGGCGGCGGGGAAAGCGTAGGCATTCTACTGTCCTTCCTGATTCACTTCTTTAACCACTCTCCCCGTCGCCTTTCCATTCTCTTGCTGCATTTCGGGTCACGGCGATCAACAGACCCTTGATCCCTCTTTTCGTTGGAAGACGAACCGTTTCGCCCGGATTCGCCCGGACCCAACCCAGACCGCTGCCCTCTCGACGGCGCCGCTGAGAATGCAGCGGTCTAGGCTGAGTCCAAGCTGAGCGGTTCGTTTCCCAGCTGTAAGAAGGATCTCGTGCCCGTTGATGGCCGTACCGAAGAACAGCAAGAGATTCAACAGGTGACGGAGAGAGTGGTTATCGGAGTACGGCAGAAAGGACAGCGTGGTGCCTACGCTTTTCCCTGCGCCAACCTTGCCGGAAGTCGATGGCTTGAATGACACCGATGCTTCTCCCCTCCGGTGGCATGGGGACAAGAATCGCTCCTTGCATACGGCTGAGAGTCGCCATTCTGACAGCGGTATGTAAAAGCGGAAGTTGTGGTGGCCAGGGATGCTGCCGTCGAAGATGACGCCGCCGATGGAAGCGTACGGGCGGAAGAGTTCCCTTTTTTTCCCAGCGGCTTTCCCTTAGGCCCTGATCGCTTCTTCATGCCGAAGGCACACGGTCGGCCTTCCCGAGCGAACCGCGTGCACGAACCTCGGCTCGATTGGGCCACCGAACTTGATCGGTACTTGGGGGAGGATTACGATTCCGGCGGGTCGACGGTGAGTGGTCGGTGGTGATGAGTGTAATGGTGGGGTGGATGGAGCTTGTTGTGGTTTGGTAAGAGCATTCGTAAACCATCACCGGAGCATAAGAAACGCACATCAGGTACACTTTATCGTGGCCGGGCAAGGCATGATTCGCATGGTGCAAGGTCGTGTAGCGCAACGGCAAGACGGGCTAGGACGGAGAAGACTCATCCGTGCACCCAAGCGAGATCCCTGGTAGCGTAGCATGAGCCTTGCTCAATGTTTTTCTGAACTGACGTTTCAATCAGGACACTCGGTTCTCTGCGGTACGCTTCGTACATGTATCTTTTCCCCTTTTTGATGCCGCAAACGTCGCACGAGATTCGAAGCACGCCATTTATGTTGTCGAGATAATTCGCGGTATTGCTCAACGAGTGGTATAGAAATCCAACGTTGTGCGGTGTGGGGAGGGGGCAAGGGGTGCGCCAAATCGGCGTGAACCATTTCTCGAGTCACATTGAATGCATTCGGCACTTGTATGAGTGAAGAATATGGGGTTCAAAACATGCCACGTGTGGTTCGATAATTGGTTGAGTGTTTTCTCTTCGTGAGCATGCACAAAACCTAAAAATTGATAAAGAATATACAGCGCTAGTAGGCTGACTAATGAAAATGGCCATTTCTATCTTCATGGCACATAGAACGCGCACTCGCTTTGCGTAGTAAGTGTGCAAGGGTAGGGGGTTGAGCCTGGAGTAGATTTCAACGTTTGGAACCGGGGTGGGGGGAGTATGTGTGAAATCTCGGTGCACGATCCTAATTTCGGATTAAGTCGAGTGTATTGAGCATCGGCGGGCGTTGGTTGAGATTATATGTAACAGCGAGAGATGTGCGTCTGTGCCTAAGGGTAGATTTCCTTAAAGCATGCATACTCGAATAGTCTACACATGTGGGTCTAGGCAATACAGTAGGGTGGCCAACTACTGCGCTTTCTCGCGCTGCAGTCGCAACTTGCCACTGTTCTGCATTTGAGCAAGCAGCCCCAACAATTCGAACGACCGCCCTTTCTCTCAGCAAGCGCGGCGTACTCGATCGTCCAACCCCCTTTCTTGCACTGAACACGACGGTTCTGCTGCAGTAAATAGTGAACCACCTCCCAACCTTCTCAGTTTCCGTGATGTCCCTTTTGCGCCGTTTCCCCCGTCCATTGATTCTCTGCGCGCCAGAAGCAGTTGCAGCGGCAGCGGCAGCGGCAGCAAGGCTCCGTGCATCAAACAACTCTTAGGAGAGATACAATATATCCTCGACAATATGAACGGCGTACTTCGAATCTCGTCCGACCGTGAGTCGCACCACATTCGAAGCTTATCGGTCATGCTGTCGAAGATTGTTTTTTCTCTCCGAAAAGTTGTTTGATGCGCGGAGTGGTTCTGCCATTGTCGCTGCCGCTGCTTCTGGTGCAACAGTTGTATAGCCAAAATACAGGACGGGCTGGAGTGTAGAAAACTCATTGTCGCCCCCCACGCTAGATTGAGCTACCCTAGACACAGCTTGATCTAGGTTTTCTGAGTTTGATTATATTTCGACCACGACACTCGGTTCTGTACAATACTCAATGTAGCTGCGTTTTCCTTCCGCCTTCTTGGTGCCGCAATATCCCGCAAGAGATTCGGAGCACACAGTTCTTGTCAAGAATTGCTTGATCGCGATATCGTTCAAAGTAGAGTACTTCTCAAACAATTCAGCATGTGGTGTGTGTGACAAATCAAGTTAAACCATTGTTCGGTGAAGAATATGGGGGTTCAGAACATGTCACCTGTGGTGTCCGAGAATTGGTTGCGTGTTTGCTCCTCGAACATCGACCGCGCTCCTGATGGGCTTACACATTAACAGACGTCATTTCTATCGGGGCAAATCGAAAACGCGAGCACTCTTCCCGCGATATTAGTGTGTACATGTAGAGGGTTGAGCCTAGCGTAGAGTTTACCGTTTGGAGCCATCCGACAAGGATTGGCTGGGGGGGGACTATGTGTGAAATCGAGGTTGTAGCAGGTATTATGCTTGGGGATTAATCCGAGTACATTGAGCACCGGCGGGCGTAGGTCAAAAGTATATATACGTAGCTGCAAGAAATATGCGTCTGTGCCTAAAGACACAACACTTCCGTGCAAGCACGCCTCCTGTAAGCGCTTTTTTCTATCCCCGACCTCGTTTGCCGCCCCCCCCCGCCTCGGTGGTTGCCATCGGGGTTGGGTTTTCGTCGCTTGGCAACGACGTTGTAAAACAAGCCGTCCCCCTCGGTGTTTGCCATCGGGGTTGGGTTTTCGTCGCTTGGCAGCGACGTTGTAAAACAAGCCCAATCACTTCGTGAACTCGGCAACCAGGTTACCGTTATTTTTTTACCTCTGTTTTTTGTTTTGGCGGTAACCATAATGGTGGTCGAGTAGATGGTGTTGTGCGGGGTGGAGAACCCTCACTCCGCGCAAGGGGGATGATCGCACCACGTTGTGTT